TCTCTTTTAGAGGGGATGTGGATGTTTGTGTCTTATCTTTTTATTTTGACTTTCAGTTACCTCTTTTTGTTTCAAGGAAGAGAGACTAATATTACCTCAGATAGTTAGAGGGAACAGGGTATTATCTGCAGGGCCAAAGAGTTCATGTGCAGTGTTCAGCTATTATAGTGTCCCACCAACTCTGAAAGTTCTGGGATTCTCCTTATTTATTGCTGCTGTGGTGGTGGCCCTCGAGTTGAGTTGCCTCAGACATGTGGGACGCAGGCAGGCAAGGAAGGAAAGTCCATGAAAAGTCTTCTCTCAGAGTCCATGGTTCTGCTTTCTGTGCAGAAGCTCACCATTGATATAAATCCGTGGCTCTTTGAATCTCTAATGCCTTCACAATCTTATTCTCATGACATTTCTATGTCATATCATTTGTTGTGTCTCACATCCTTTTGTTAATTGCTTTATGGCATATTTATTTTTCCAACATCTTACATCACTCAGAGAATTTCATTGACCCAACTCATCTTTTCATGCCATGCCACACCACAACTCAGCTTCTTGTGGTGACGGTTGTCTGCTCTTGGGGAAAATGCCCAATCAACTATGGAGGTAGGGTGGCACCTGACTCATACTGCATGTGCTGGACTTGGTAGTGGCTGTAGGTGTGACAGATTTTCAAGGGCTATATTGTTTGGTAAAGATGAATAACTTTTGGGTGGATTTATTTATTTTTTAATAATGTTCTTAAGAAAGCTATCCTAGTCTGATTGCATAGCGCCCCAGAATTTAGGTTGTATTCCAACCCTAAGTCCAATCATCGTGGGAAGAATTGTCATCTAACACCCTTGTAAGAGAGAACTCCGTGGTAACTGCTCCAAAGACCTGGGGTCAGGGATCCCCGACTCCTCAGATGTCTCCTTTCCACGGGATAGAATCGCTCTCTTTATCAAGGAAGTCCTTTACTTTAGTCTTTGCAATAGAGAGACTGATTAAGGAAGCAGTGGAATTAATTTAACATCTCCTTTCTCTTGTTCCCACTCTAGGAGAGAGGATGCTATCTTGCCATGTGTAATCATACACATTCCTAGTGGGCAGGGAAGGAAAGAGCTTTTGTGTTTCAAGCGAATTGAAGAGCCATACCATGGTCCTTAATGGGAAGGACATGTAGACAGTCGTTGGCTGATGAGGAGGAAGATGTGAATATGACACAGTCCTGCCTGCAATGAACCCATGGTCTATGTAGAAGACAGACAAGTAAATAAAATTCACTCTATAGCATGATGAGTGTGATGAGAGGTCTTCACAGGTTCCCAAAGGGAATACACAGCTGGACGCATAATCCAGACTGGGGGCAAGGGTCAGGAAGGTTTCTTGGAAAAATAACTTCTTAGCTAATTGATAGTGGAAATACATAGCAATTACAAGGTAGTGGATGGAGTGGAGTGTATTCCAGGAAGAGGGAACAACATTTGTAAAGGCAAGGAGGCCAGATGAGTTTGGGGAGAATCAAGTCTGTTTTTTGACTTTCATATTATGAGCTTCCTGGTAAAGGCCCTTCGTGATCTGTCACCTAGTCACTGCCTCATGCACCTAACACTCACTCTCCTGACGCACAGGAGTCTCCCAGGGGGCAGACCCTGATGGACACACACTCCCACTGAAAAGTGGATTTCACAGAAGTCTTCTGGAATTGAGATGCCACCCCAGGAAGAAACGGAGTGGGAGGAGAGAGGCTTGAATTTACTGAGTTCATCTGAAGAGACAGAAATCACTGAATTGACTGAGTTCACCCAAAAGTGGCCAGACTTCACTCGGTGAAAGGGAAGATTGGGATAAAAATTAAGTTCTGTTAGAATAGTAAAGTTGACTTTTGTACACCTGAATATGTGGTTTATAAAATTTGTACCTACAATATGAGCCTTTTACAGACCAAAAATGTTTTTAAAAATGTATTTGAGGGCCGGCCCCATGGCTTAGCCGTGGCTTAGTGGTTAAGTGCACGCGCTCCGCTACTGGCAGCCTGGATTCGGATCCGGGGCGTGCACCGACGCACTGCTTCTCCGGCCATGCTGAGGCCGCTCCCACATACAGCAACTAGAAGGATGTGCAACTATGACGTGCAACTATCTACTGGGAGCTTGGGGGAAAAAAAGGAGGAGGATTGGCAATAGATGTTAACTCAGAGCCGGTCTTCCTCAGCAAAAAAAAAAAAGAGGGGGATTAGCATGGATGTTAGCTCAGGGCTGATCTTCCTCACAAAAAAAATAAATAAATAAAAAATAAAGGGCCGGTTAAGTGCGCGCGCTCCGCTGCTGGCGGCCCGGGTTTGGATCCCTGGCCCCCACCGACACACCGCTTGTCCAGCCATGTTGAGGCGGCGTCCCACATACAGCAACTAGAAGGATGTGCAGCTATGACATACAACTATCTACTGGGGCTTTGGGGGAAAAAACAAATTTAAAAAACATTTAAAAAATAAATAAAAATAAATAAAAAATAAAAATGGATTTGAACCCTAAAAGTTACTTATTAAAAGACTCATTGAATTTGAACAGACTCCTGAAAATGGGAAGAAAACTAACATTTAAAAATGAGAAAACTGAGACCTAGAGGGCTGAAGTGACATGCTTAGGACCCTAGAGCAGATGGAGAGGTAACAACTCACCTGTATTTTCTGAATAAATTTTCTTTCATCAATTCCGAAAAAGTCTGAGAATGAGTATTTAGGTTTTTAAAAGAGAGGGCAAGCCTTAAACTAATTCTAAATGATAACAAGAATAAGAAAGTAGAGAAAGAAGTGTAAAAAAGTAAGAATAATCCAAGGGAGAGGGTAATTTTTTAAGTTCGTTTGTGAATGGATAACCACAGTTAGTTCGGTGCAGCGCCATTATTCAACAAAACAGAAACACAAAAGGTACATTTAGACCTTCTTTTCTGAAAAGGCCATCCTTTCACACTGTGTTTCTGTTTACTTCCTCAGAAACATCAAATATTCTCTACAGTTACAACAATAATAAAAACTAAATACTTTTTCCTACAAATAAATGTTTCAGCAGTGCCTTACTACAGTCATTATTTCACTATATTTCTTAATCTCATGTCAAATAGAATTTTTTTTGGTCTTTACCTTTGTGGAATTTTGACCTTGGACAGTTATTTATATATATATAAAATAAGATTTGGATTAGAAGACCTTCGAGGTATCTATTTTCAATCCCCACGACTCCATTCTTAATGCCCATGATATAGTGGTTTGAAAACTGGTGGTGAAAAAAATGAGCACAATTGAATCGTATTCTCCGTTACCTTCCATTATAAAATCAAATACTAATTAGAACAGGAAAAAAATGTTTTATTCCAGGGATAATAATCACACTTTGATATATTAACAAACATATGATCTATTTAAATTAGAACACTTCTTTGATAAGATAATCATATGCAAGCTAAGATACAAGATACCAGCATACTAAAATTTTAAAGTGTCGATTTTAATTTTAATATTTGTATTTACTTCTTTTATTGGCACAAGACCAATAAAGAGGGAAGTGCTGCATTACTATTACACTCTAAGACTTTAAGTCTAGCTCAGGGAAAATACTGGTAGAAACCTTTTAATTAAAAAGCAGTTCTAATATCTATTATATTTAATGAGGTTATTCTATAATAAAAAAATTTAAATGCTCATTATTCATGAGGACATTACAAATTTGTTAAACTGAGATATTCAGTAAAACAGACACATTTAAAAGTCACTACCCACATAAAAACATTTTTTACATACTACATACTACAAGACATACTAGAGCCTTCCTTCTACTTTTGAAAATCTAAACAAGTGATTACATAAAAAAATGCAATCTTAGTGACTTTGGGGTTAAATACAATAATAGTTTATTTTCCCATGGGTCTCTGGGAGGCAGCCAAGAACTAAGAAGAAAGGAAAATAGGCCCCTGGGTTATTAAAATAGTGGAAAAAATATTTTATCAAAATTTGATAAATTTATAAAGCTCATCAAAATATTTTCTCCTATTTTACACAGAATTGTAAATATCTTGATTATTTTATTTCTAAATCCACAATAGACTCAATCTAGTCTAAATTACAAAGAAAGCACAGCATTTTTTTTATCATGTTTTATATTGCACTCAAGTATAGTTAAAGCAGAAGAGAATAAACAGCGTTTAACCATTGCAGAGGACACTACTTTGGTACTAGCTTCTTTATACCACACTCCCTTGCTAATACAGTCTATGCTGAACTCTTGCTTTATGTAAGAAGAATTAGAAACACCACTCTTCAGGTCTACATATAGGGTAAATTTTGTAAGGTCTCTAAGTTTGCTAAGTGGCACCCCCTTTTTCTTTTCTTTGAAAACCCCCACAATTTAAGGAGTTTTTATTTCCATTTTCTACAGCCATGGACTGCCCTGATCCCTAGAGTGTGACCCAGGGCCTCCTTATCAATTAAATTTGAAATTCCTTTTCTTCAGCCCAGGGATCACCAGCTATTGACAATTTCTGAAATGGGATAAGGCTGAGTGATATGTACAAGAGCACTGAAGAGAGACCTTAAGAGGCTACCCTTGGAAGGAGGAGGTCTTAAAATAGCCTTAGCAGGTATATGATGCTCTAAACATCTCAGAGTGAGAGGTCAGTAGTAATAACTTTTAGTCCTGCCAGTTTCTGGAATAGGTCCATTGCGGTGGTGAAGTGACTAGTGAGAAATTTGCAGGGAGGGAGCAATTGATCTTTTCTTTATGATTGATTCTTGGTCATTGTAATGACAAGTGCACATTTAACGTGGTGGATTTCCTGAGAAAGAGCCACCTTTATTTCAAAAAGGATATTAGTTGCTCTTTTCTGAACCATACTCATATTTTGTATTAATATCAAAAATACTGTGATAATCAATGACAGGTGTCAAAATTAAAAAGTTAACGCATTATTTGAAGAATATAGACATTTTAAAATATAATATGTGAATATTTTTAGTAAGAGTCAACATTTTTCTTTTCCACTCTGAAAAAACATAAAATGGAGAATTTCTCATTGTTTTCTAAATCAACAAAAGGGTATATAGGAATAGCTAATAAGATATAGACACTTTAAATATACTACATCCAAAAATTATTAAAATGCATAAAACAATAGTACTCACTAGTACACAAAATTAAAACTGATATTCCATTCACTTCTTCCTTGGGTGGTCTCCTACTCACTTTTACCCTACCTTTAGCATATTTTAATATGAAATATACACTATGCAGAAGAAATAGAAATTTTTGACTTTCAAGTGTTTACAATTATTTTACTGTTTTATCGGTACTGTAAGAAATTCTGCAATAACGTTGGCAACTGGAGTTGTGGAATCAGGTGCAATCTTGATCTTCCTACGTAGCTTCTGATGCAGAGTCGGCAAAGCTGGCAAAGAGACCTTGGGGTAGCTACAAAAAACACGAAACCATTAGTTAATTAAGATCAACATGGATTTTTATGTGTTATAAGATACATGAAATAAAACCATGAAAAAACTACAATGCTTTGTCTTAAACCAGGGCCATCTGACCACTATGCTAGGGAAAGTTATATAAGCATTTATATCGCTTTTATTTATAAGATCTTATTATAATTGAGGTATATTCCATATATGTTCTTTAAAAATTATAATCTTAAGGCATATGAAATTATTGTTGCATTTAAAGCCTCCAAAACAAATTCTGCTTTTCGAAGGAGAGATAAATCAAAAGCCCCAAGAAGTGTTATGCACTAAAGGAGGAAATTTTAAAATTATATTTTTTTCTCAAGTTAAGTTTACTATGCCAAAGCAAATCTCATTATAATGTCTGGACCAGGCTTAAGAAATTCTGCTGTAGAACAAAAGTCTTAAGTGTGAAAATATTTCCTGATGATGTTTCTACAACACATTATAGAAGGTGCAAGCCCTTATAAAATGGGGCATGTTTCCAAATATTTATTAGCAGCTAGCAAACAGAATTACATACTATGTATTGTCAAAACAAACTGAATAAATTTAACTTAACCACAGGAATATAAAGTTTAGGTAAGATGAAAAAAAGAAAAGATCACCATGATATCTTCTTTATAAATAGAACCTAAGTTAAAAAATTACCTACTTTCACAAAAAATATTCCAAATGTTACGCCATTATTATTTTACATGCCAACAAAGGGTCTTTAAATTTCATCTATTTCAGGCAAATGTATTTTTGTGTTTTTAAATGCCCACATGCATTCCTCTTACCTTCATGTTGAAGCAGCAGTCTTTCCACCAAACTGCTGGAAGTAGCTATGTCTATAGGTCGCAGAAGCTCTGTGTTTTTGGCATTAATATCTGCTCCAAACTCTAGCAGTAAGTTGACAATTTCCGTACTGGACTGTTGAGCAGCAGCGTGCAGTGGAGTATCCCAGTATTTGCCTTTTTGTACATCAGCACCTACGTGTAAATAGGCAATGATGAAATACACAAACAAAAATTGTTAGACGAGTCACTTATGTCAGCAAGTGGAAGAAGGTATGACACAAAGAAGACCTCAACTCTACCTGTAATGAGTTATTTCTTTATATACATATATATATTAAATCTTAAAACTTGTTATATCTGGATGGAGAGTGCACATGTTATATTCTCTAATATTTTTCTCTGTGCTTGAAAGATCTCATAATAAATTTTTTTTTAAATTTTTAAACAGTTCTCAAAGTAATCCTATTAACTAGTATTATAAACAGTGTACAATTAGGTTCACTCATCTATTTTCATCACGATTGATAGCTCTTAGGATTATTCAAGAGCTTCCTCTTATTCTTTTCATTTATTTTAAGGCAATAGAGCTCTTTTGTTTCTTGGAAAATTCATGAATCTAGATATGTGAGCTATTTAGGTAAAATGTATATAGATTTTCCTGTCACTTCTCAGTCATGTAGTTTAAATCAATACATATGTAAAGGCACTGAGCCTCTTAAATGGAAAGGAACATTATATTTCTGCATACAAAGTAAATTAAAAAAAATGCTTATGTTAACAAAAACTTTACAGGGTAAATTACCAATTGCGTAGTTATTTTATCTCAGTGCAAGCTGTGGCACATGTTGGTCATTCAACACATGGGCAAGGGAATAAATGCTGTTAAATATTGTAAAGAAGAATAATTCCATTTTCCAGTACATAAATGCTTACAACACCAAGAAATGTCTATCAGTAAAAATCTTTATGTCCTGTTTTCTGATACTATCAATAAAATTAATGATGTTTATAAGAAGCAGTACATTTTAAGAGTCCCTTTATGGCCCTCCTGCTACTTTCAAGATTCAATAAATATAGCCATTTGCAATATTTTTAAACCAAGTATAAAATGATTAGTGGAAAAATTATATTCCATGACAAAATCTCCATAGAGAAAGAAGAAACTCTGTTAGTTATATCAATTTTATGAGAGAACAAAGCCTGAGAATAACAATCAATCCACAATTACTAACAGCACTTTTTCAATATTTCTTTTACCCAATATAAAATATTTGGTGAAAACAATAATATTCTTAGCAAAATAAAGAAAGGCAATAAAGAATAAACTCTTCTGGTTATACAAATTTATGGGAGAACATAGCCAGAAAATAACAATGTCATCAATTATTAGTAGAACTCATGTTTAAGACTCTTACTAGCTATAAAGGGAATGAAATAGTAGATGCAGACACTGCTTGCAAGAAGTTTATAATTTAGCTAAGATAATGTGAGTAACACATAAAAGGATTACTAAAAATATATGTCAGTGTATATCAGAGGCCAAATGATTGTCATAAACAATGAAAAGCATAGAAATGCATTTACTCATTTTATATACATTTTAAGCACCTACCACGTGAGAGGCACTGTGCTAGAGAAAAGAGGTGATGGGGAAAAAGACATAATCCATATCCTAAAAGAGCTCCCAGTCCTATAGTGGGAGAGACCACTGTGGTCCCAAAAGATTAGGAAAAGTTTCTCAGGGGGCTAACGTTGAGGATCTTAATTTTAAGACCTTTTATAAGTAGGAATTTTGGAGCTTTGAGGTGAAGTGGAGTTAAGAATGACGTTCTTTTTTACGGCTTATATACTTATATGTGAGAATGCTTAGAATAAGAACATTTTTAGCAATGAGATATAATTTTTAAAGAAGTTTATTTAGAGAAATAAACATGGACCTGAACAATTGCTTGTGTGTATGGACAGAATGGAAGATGTTTTAAAGAAAATTACCAGCGTAAAGAAGCTTCCGAACACAATGGAATTGCTGTGACATACAAGCTACATACAGAGGAGTTCCCAAATGAGGAATGTCTTGGTCAACATCTATGCCCCAGGATATCAGTATTTCTAGACATTCATGGTGACCTGCCAACACAAAGTAAAGATGGGTTTACTTTTCCTTAATGCCCATTCCGCCCATGCACCTCACCCCATGCTTCTCTCTGCAATGTTATTCATACAGATAAATGGAACACTGCATGTTGCTGAGGGAGCTTTCTCCCCTTGTCACTTAATCCCATAACGGTTACCTTTACTGGCGGCCTCATGTATGGGAGAAGGAAGACATGACTCTAGCTGTGGTTTGGCACCATATTCCAAAAGAAGTTCTGTACAGCTTGTACTGCCTTGTGAGCAGGCATTGAATAACGGAGTCACACCGTCTATTGTGATGGCATTTACCTAAACCAAACCAAAAATCCAAGAATGAGATTCACAGAATCATACATGATTGACTGTAAAAGTTATGTGATCTGCTAACAGAAATAATTGGGAAACTGTGTGCAGTAAATATGACAAAGCATATTTAGCTCATACACATCAACAAGCAAAGCTTTCAAACTTCAAGAGATAAACAGAGATATGATGTGGTAGATAATTCACAGGTGTGGGCATGCAGTTAGTAAAAATCATGGAAAAAAACTACATAAGAATCAAATACAGAAAAATTAATTCGATGACTAGGTACTTTTCAATTAGGAAAAAAAGTCAACAAATGTAATGGTGATGAGAGCAGTGATGAAGGCACTTTGTTGGTGGCAATTTAAATTGGAAATTCTATTTCTGAGAATTTATCTAAAGAAAATCATCCAAAAGATAGGCAAACATTATAGGCATAAGCATGTTCATCTGCTGCTATTTAGAATTAGGGAAGCAGGAAATAGCCTCAAGACTATTCTATATTACACAGCATGCGACCCATTTTTGCAATGATCGGAAATCCTTCTTAGAGAGCAATGAGAAGGGGGAGGCAATTTGAGAGCTTTATTTTTATTCTGCTGTTTTTGAAAACTACTAAGAAGGAAAGAAAAGCAAAATCAGAACTTTGGTTGATTCTCCTAGCAAATTGTTAATTGTTAATGCTTTTAAAATGCACTTACATTAGCCCCAGCTTCCAGAAGAGTTCTGGCACAGCCAACATGATCTCCAAGGCAGGCTTCGTGCAATGGGGTGACATGGTCTATGGTTACTGCATTTACATTATAACCCTAAATATGACATGAATAATATTGAAAGGTGAATAAAAAGTTACATAAAATCGTCTCTATAATTGTCATTAGAGAGTGATATAAAAGATCAGAAAATCTCAGGCAAACCAGGTTTCAGTTTAGCGGGAATGGGCAGGGCCAGTTCAAACGCCATAGAGTGAATCAGTTGTCAAAACTCCTGAGCCCCATTATGGTAACACTATCATATCTAAACCCAATACCACCTTAGGCAGTTTGTTCAATAGATTCTGAGTGTTCTCTTTAAGTTTTGCTTTTTAAACTTCTTTTGGTCTTTATGAATTATTTTGGTTGTTATTGTTATTTTGTCTTTTATTTTGTAGAACTGAAGACTTTTTATAGGCTGGATCACTTGTTTTGATTGGGGCTATAAAATTATAGGTCAGCCCTGAATGAGGGGGAAAAAGCTCTAAATTGTAGTAAACTGCTTTGTGAATTTTTGTCCCTAAATAGATGTGAGTAGATTCTATGCTGGTTGTCAAGAGCTCTCACTGTGGAGTCAGTTAGACTTGGGTTTGACCTGGCTCCATAATGCAGTAATTATTTTAATCTGGACACGTATAATAACTTCTAAATTTTAGGATTATCATGAAGATTAAATGAGATGATGCATGTTAAACAAATAGTATAGTGCCCAGAACATAGAAAATATTTTATTTCATTTTATTATTCAATCAAAACTAAGTAAACACTTTAAAAAATGTTATTCCAATTAAACTAATGACATCAGACTAAAATAACTAAATATTATAAGGATATGAGATTCTTTGCCTTCTTGCTATTTTTGGTAATTCATTGTCTATTGACAATCATACTAAGCACTATAATAGGAAGATTTTCATGGCCAGATCCCCAGAGTATATTACAGATTACCATGATCTGTAATACCAGAATGGACACAAAGAATCTTAAAATGAAGGCAAGATAATAAATAATCACACCAAATCATTATCACTAGCAAGTGGTAATTTTTAAGATCCCTTAAAGTGTCCTTCCAAAGATTTCGAATTGGCTGGGCAGCAGTCAGACGTGGGGAGCGAATTTTGAACTGCCACTCACTGGAGTGACCAGATGACAGAAGCATCTGCGAAGGTCAAGATTCCCTTTCCTATAGGGCTTTGGGGACAGCCTCCGACTCTTTTTGGCTGGGCTGTCAATGGATATGAGACACGTGTTGAGAACTATCCTAAGCCTGCTCTTCTCTCAAAGAACTAACTGCATGACCCTTTCAGGGCGGGGGGTGGGGAGCCTATAGAAATTATCAACCTTGTGGCAGCACAGTCACCTGGTTATCACGGAACTGGAAGGCCCTACGGGAGCATCTTGTCCTACATTTTCACTTTACAGATGAGAAATGGAGGGTCAGATAGGCTGTGGTTCACCTCCAGTGCCTGCCTGGAATTAGGTCCCCTGAATCCCACGGCAGTGCTCTTTACACTGGACAACACTACCCTTCCTTCCCTCATAGCCAGCTGAGAAAATTCCTTCCTCCTTGATCCTGGAAGCACTGGAGCAGCGACTTCCAGATCTGGGTGTGCATTTGAATCACACTGGAAAATTTTAAAAATGCACAGGCTAAGCCAGAGTACTTTCTGTTTCAATAAGGAATCTGTGGTTTTCATTTTTCCTCTGGTGAGTCTGATGAGCAGGCAGCTGTAGAAATGATTGTTCTGTAGCTTTCAGACGCAATTCCCCACAACAAATCACAGATTCCATAATGTAAAAAAGATTGTTTAGGCATCTGATCTGATTACCCCTTTTTGGATATTTTATGACTGAACTAAGTCTGGGATTAGCTGTATACATTGTACAGAGTTAAGCATATTTAAAATGCTTAATGAATAATACATACATCCAATTACTTCTTGCTTAAATACATTTATCAATGAACAAATACACTGTATGGGAAACTGGAAATACTAAAACATAAGATTATACCAAAATATTTATAAAGAAGTTTCAAAGATAAATGAGAAACTATGGACTTGATTGATATATGAGTTAAAATAAGACTAGTAAAATTTACTAAGCAGTTTTATTATCTTTGAGTTGACTACTTTTGACAATTAATGTTCTATGCTCATGGGACGGGGCATATTTTAGGCTATATTTAATATTTCACCTGTGATAATAATGTTCTCAGAGCAAGAAGGCGACCTTGACTTGCTGCTTCGTGTAGTGGCGATCGATCTGCCCAGGAACCTGTCAGAAAAGAAAACAAAAATCTGTGAGTCACAGTAAACTCTGATAGACACAGTCAATTCCTGTGACATATGTACTATTCAGATTCAGTGTGCAACCAGGTGACCAAGACACTTAGACCACACACCAGGAAATTCGATTCTTAGCTGAAGGATCCAGATTGGCAGTTTCCAAATCCAGAGGGCTACATCACACGTTCTGGAACGGACCTACCCAAGACTTCCTATACCTTTTGAATTATCCTCCAAAGAGGAGGAGGATTACAGTCACTAGATCTGCCACATGTACCAAAAATCTCCATTTCGTGGTTTTTCAGACAGAATCCAGAAAAACAACTTTTCTGCCTGTTTAGCAGGGATAGCAGTTGGAACACCCACCTCTCCACACTTCCCGCCTGCCCTGCTGTTCCCCTGCTCCCTGCACCCCCCACAGCCGTGTCCTGAGGTGTAAGGGGGCTGTACATGTGGCCAAGGAGGGTGAAGTAGCTGATCGCCAAGGCCTAATACGTGGAATAAGCCAGGCAGGCCCTAGAAAGGGGGTGTCATAGGTTGGGAGGGGCAGACTATCTTCAGTGTTTGCAATGGTGCTGAGAGTGCCAAGGGCTCACTCGGGGGTCACTGATTCTCCATGTGCCAGTGGTTGGTGGATGGTGGCACTGAAACCCTCCAACCCCGTGCCCTGGTGGAGAAAGCACTGACCTGTCATGTCTCCCAAGTCCCCCTCTTCTGATGTGCCTTTTGCACCCCTCCCGTGAGAAAAATCAGTGCCCTCCCATGTGAAAATCGCCTTTTCTTTCCCTCCCCCAGCCCCTCTGGGCATCCAGACACCATCCAGAGGTACAGCCTCCCCTCCCATCTCTCCCACCCTTGTGGTCCACCCAGGTGGCTTTATAAGATACTGGGTTGGTGCACAGTGATTCTCTTGTAATGTAAACAGGACCAGCATTATTGGTTCTATTTAATGGACTATTTAATGGACATGAGAGATCATGTTGGAGGTTTTAAAGTAATTAAATATGCAGACTATGCAAATCAGGGAAACATTCATTTAAAGGGTATCATTGGCTGATAAATTAATGCAATGTTGAATAGAGAGAAAATCTTCCCACTGTAATGTGATAATGTTTGCTAATAATTGTCTCCTTGTCTACCACCCTTCCCCCTCTTTTGGATAGATATGATGCAATAAATAAAAATAATCTTTTTAAAAACTGCTAATCAGTCCCAGTGCAATTGAAATAAAGTCACTTAGCTGTTAATCAGAAACATAAATTTTATGAAAAGCATGTCTAAAGCTTGTTTAAATAGGTCAGGAAAATTATCTGAAACATAGTAGGGTGTGGTGCTTTAGAAACCACCTCATTCCTCCTACATTTCATACCCTTGGAAAAGTTTACACATATACCTATGCTTCTGTATTGCGGTCTTACAGTAGAACTTTGCCACAAAACCATAAGTGAGATCTAAGTGATTCCATTGAATAAAACGTGGGACACTCATCATAAGGTTAATGAAATGATCAAATGAGCCTGGTATAGAGTATAGAAATGAACTGCCAATCATCGATCTTTTTATATCCAATGACATTTTGGGGTTTTATTGAAAATCCAAATCCTAAGAGAAAGAGGGCAGAGTCTCTCTTTTCCTTACTGCTGATTTACCAGCAATGGTAATAATGGCTAATGTGGAATAGTGTTTACCATGTACACTAGTCCAAGCACTGCGCACTATACCTCATTTAGTTTTCAAAACTCTTTGAGGTACAGACAATTATTATTTATATCTTAAAGTTGAGGAAATGAGAGCTAGAAGAAATGGAATCATTCAAAGGGAGTCACACAGTCTAACTCTAGGGCTGATACTCCTGCTTACGACACTGCACTATTGTCTTTGTTTTGCCTTTCCTTCTAGCATTGTTTCTTGCCTATCCAAAAAAAATAGCAACCCAGACATCCAATTCTTTGAGTTTTCAACTGAGAAAAGAGTTATTGTTATTAGCTTTTGTGTATTATTTCTTTTCAGTATGCAACACTCCTATTATAGATTAAAAGCAGAATTGAAATAATGCACGCCAATAAATATTTGTTGATAGGACAAAATATGATGGTAAAATAATAACTTATAAGAAATTGGAACATTATGCTCTTACTAAATAAAACACAAAAGTCACCATCATAAATAATCTTTTGGGGAACAACTATGTTTCAAGTTCCAGCTTCCAAGATGAAATTTGATGCTTTAAGAATCATGCGCATCCATTTGTTTTATCATTAAAGTAAACAATTTGATTGCAGAGTGAAACACTGAGGACTTTAGAATATAACCCAATTTCACTGTCAATATTTAAATTAGAAAATTATAATATTAACTTTCCAAACGGATTGCATATGTGAAACCACTATGGTCAGTTTAATCTGCTCTGCATAGTAAATTAATAAGGTTTTAAGTAATCCATGCCTAAATGTAGGTTAGAATTTAAATAATCATTTATAGTATTTATAATGATTGTGTGCTCCTTCTTGTATAATGGCTTAAAAATTTCATTACCCTTAATTTATCTCTAAAAGCTGTATGCAGAATTATAGGATGCTGATTCATTATGCTGCCTGTTCTTCCATTGTTACTAGCTAACAGGACAATTAACCAGATGTTGGGATTGAGAAAAGCCTAGAGAAATGGCCTTTTGGGTTCATTTTGGGCTCATTTCCTTGTGGTATTTTATGATGACCTGTAAAGGGCAGCAAAGCTAACAACATTTGCAGCTGAGGGGAGCGTGATATTCCTCTTTTGCAAACTAATGTGTTTGTCCATTAAAAAGACTGTATTAGTCTTCTGAACAATTTCAGCATTGCTTTTGGTGTTTACCAAAGAAAGAGAGAAGACAAGGAAAAGGGTCATTTAGAAAACAGGCCACACAAGGGCCAAAATAAAGAAATGTAAGTATTCGAATTTACCACCCATATCCCCAGCCCCACTTATCCCCGCCCTGCCCCTCCCCAGACTGTCACACAGCTTTCTGCCCTCACTGTCATTTTCTTTATCACCAAGACAAGTCCATTACGGTGGCAGAAAAAAAGCTGAAGCCAGATTTTGTGTATGTGGATTTGCTATTATTTCTATTAATATGATCTCCACTGGCATGAAAAGAGAGTTAAATGGCACAGTAATCTGTGGGAAAGTGGGGGCGGGTGGTTAGTGAGAAAACCACTGACAAGAGATGGTGTTGGGTGAGGGATCCGCGGCCCATCAGGCAGGGACAAAGGCTTGTAAGAGTGCACTGCCCTATTATTTCCTCAGATGAACTCAGCTCTGCTCATCTGCAGGGGGCGCCTGCTGTCTGTCATGATTCCTTAAAGGAGGAGGCAGGGCAGGGAGCAGGAGGAAGAGGAGAAGGAAGGGGAGACGAGGAGGAAGTGAGAAATGAGATGGGGTCTAGAGCCCAGAAGCTCACGAGGAAAAAGACTGAGGGGCCAGGACAGCCTGGATTTGCCTCCCAGTTTAGGACAGTGGCCTTCATGAAGTCATCTAACCTCTCCGAGAGTCAGGTCCTCCTAAAACGGGAAAAGCACTATCTATGAGACAGGGTTGAGGGGGGATTAGAAACAAGCAGCTAAGTGCCTGCTAGGAAAATGGACAGTAAATAATACCTGGTATTCTTTGCTACACACATAAACTGATAAATAGGGGATATTTTAATATGAATTTTAGAGAACAATCCTTTTTCTCCAAAACTGGGAAACTGGAGCCATAAATAACAGCATCTATTGACTAAAATGATTTTCAATGCTATCAGCTTAATTAAGCAAACTATATGAAAGCAATTGAATGATTTATAAACGTATTTAAGCCAACAATCAACACTGCAGCTACATTTTTCTTTCCTAAGTAAGCTATAAGCAATAAAGGTATATCAATCTATGAAAAGAGTAATTCATAGTACATACACGCTATTTGATGAAAAACATTTTTTGTTTGTTTTGAATTCTGCATGCTTAACTCCCATGTTTTGAATTCTGCATACTTAACTCCCAAGCAACCCCATCTCTTTTGGTTCCTTGTAATTCCTTAGAAGAATTTCTGTAATTAATCTGGTAACACGCGAGAATCAAATGATACTTTATCACGTTCCAGTTTCTGTTTTGAACTAAGTCTTCACTCCTTCCTATTTCTCTCCTTCAAAATCTGAAATATAACAACTGTAAATTTCTATTCAAATGTGTTCAGTGTTAAACATCTTACCTTTCAATACAGATATGCTTTATATTATAAAGATTTCTATAAGCTTTCTCAAGACCAAATGAAATACAAATATCTTCATACATAACAATTCAGTAACTTTATAATCTTTCTAGACTTTAATTGGGTATCTAAGATTAAAAGAATGTTCAATTTAACTCTTTAGGATAAATTAGTCAGTGTGAAAATTGTTTTACAAAATGTCTGTAACTTTCACCATGCAAAGCAAATGCCTACTGTTATGGTCTCCGTAGCTGCACAGGAGGTCACCGGCTATATTTAGAAACAACACGAGTTCTCAGACATCTGGTATATAATTTACAGAGAGAGAGCCTACCCTGTTCTGTAAACATCACATTGCCAGAGCAAAAACACTCACGTTCTTAGATATACACAGCTTGGGAAGGGTCTATACCGTACCTAAGTCACCATCTCCCCATGGCACTTCAAGCCAGCCACTGTCGAGGTAAATCCGACTCATGTCTTTTTCTATCAGCGTCAAAAAAGAAAAATTGCTTGTCATTTGCTGGTTCTATTCGGCCATTTTAAGGTGCCCTAAGCTCCTTGTAATGTGACCTTTCAGCTCCAGAAAGAAAAACAGCTTTTTAAAAGCTGATTTGTTTTCAAAATTGCCTTTTTTATTGATCGCTCTTCTTTATTTGAGAAATTGCTGATAGTAACTTATTTTTTCTCCTTACAGTATGTGCCTTGCAATGAATTAAAAGTATTACAATTAGACTTCTGCCCATGGCTATGATGAAACCA